TATTTCTGCTTTCAGTTCATGGGTAATGTTCCATTTGGATCAGTAGAACAGCAGAACATGATACTTCACAAAGTAGGAAGCAGAAACAGAAGACAAAATAGTCACAACCCCTTCCGATTTGTTTGTAAATGTAGTATCTTAGGTGGTTCAGTTAATCCCACTTTGAACAGAAGCGTTTTATCTGTTAAAATGAAAAGGAAAGGAGAATCAAAAGGGATGGGACAACAAAATGTCAGCTAAACAAAAAGCTTTTTCATTATGGTTGACAAGTTTGAATAGTAAAATCTGAGATTTCTGAAAAAGATGAGCCCAGAACCCTGTTTCACCCAGAACACAGGGTTAGAAAAAGATTTATATTCAGGCAGTATTTGAGATGAGATAAGATTTTATCCCAAAAACTTTGTCCCTATATGTAAACTTTACAAAGTTTGCACAGTTGTTGCATTAAGTCTCCAGATTATTAAAAACTTTAAACGGTAAGAGGCTACTTTCATATTGTGATATGTGTGGATTATTTTTATTACAATATTTTTATTAAAAAATATTTTTTTAATTTTAATTTTATTTATTTATTTATTTATTTATTTATTTATTTATTTATTTATTTATTTGTGTTAAATTCTGATTTATTATTTTATTATTTATTACTTATTATTTTATTCTAATGAATAAATGTTACAAATGATTACACAGAATACAGTTGCATGGTTAAAATAATGGTAAATAAATGTTACAAATGATTACACAGACTACAGTTGCATGGTTAAAATAATGGTAAATACCCTATACATATTTTTTAAGTCTATGTTAAATGTCTTTCTTTATAAACAGTGTATAATTTCACATAAGAAGGTGCACATAGAGCGGTTTTCTGCTACATTTGAACTTTCTTTAAGTTAGGGTTAGATCTAGGGATGGGTACCTTCTTCTGTAACCTGACTGGGGAAATCAATCCAGATGATTAATGCTCGGGCTCCATCTGTTAAAGCAGCAAACTGGATAATCAGGTTTAAAAAAGGCTGTCATGTGTGTGGTATGGCAGTCGAGATGCCATAGCTTCTTGGAAAGGGGACTAAAAAAAAAGAATAGCGAAACACTCATTTCACTTTCCATCTCTGCTGCTTACCATCCACACAGTCTGCTTCTGAACCACCACTGACAGGTAAAGATCACATTTGTTGTAAAACTACAGCTTTAACTTTACTGCTTTAAAAACACACGTTGGCTTCGTGTTAGAATAACAGATTTTACTTTCGAACTACAAGAATGTGAAACATTTAAGGTCCGTCGGTTTTAATTATTGAGGTTTTGAATTGCTAACGGAGACATTGGGGATATTCACTCTGGAAATAACCAAAAAACAGGACAAAAAAAATGAACACTGCACAAATATTGTGTACTGATTGTGGACACTGCTAAATGCCCAACATTAACATATGAATCACAACCCTGATTCTGTGTATATTTCAAAATTAATCTACATGTAATACTGCCCCTCTATAAATGAAACTTTTATTTTTATGCAATTAACCAATGCTTTTATCCAAAGGGACTTACAAAGTAGGTGGCACCAAGAGTTGAATTTGAGACCTCTTAAATGACAGTCAAATACTTTACCGATGAGTTATCTCCTTATCTCCCCAAAGCTATATTTACAGTCGGAATAAGATATAAATTCAGAAGTTATTTTAGTTCCTTAAAAAATAAGCTCTGCAGGGGTCATGGTACGAGTAAAAAACATGCTTCTAAAATGGCTTTAGGGGCTTTTTTCATGATTTGTTAAACTCAGATGGCCGGAATTTTATCTTAAAAGGATCCACAACTAAAAGCTTGTTGATGCCTTTAATGTCTTTATGACTCATTCCCATTTCACGTTCATATTTCCACATAACTCTTTATTTAGTTTTGCTCATAAGCATGTAAAAATGTCAAAATGAAAACAGAAACATTAATAAATAAAAGAGGAGAAATCCCTATGCTGCTGAATTAATGAATGATTAGGGTTATGATTTAATTAATGATCTGCTGAATTAATGAATGATTAGGGTTATGATTTAATTAATGATTTAATAATTCCTCTAATTTAGTTCAAAATCACCTGCTTTAACTTGCAGATGAAAAGCCATTTTCTCCACATCTGTTTTATAATATCTGTCCATTGCTTCAATGATAAAATTATTTTATCACTCTCTGGTGGAGTGCATATGCATATATATTAGGGATGGGACGGTTTCTGAAAACCGTCTGAACCGTTCGGTTCGACTGTCTCGGTTCGGTTCGCGTGTGTACCGCACGGTTCATGCACTGCTCCTTTTTCTCAGAGGGAAGCGTGTTCACTCCAGAGCAGAAGGGGGCGCTACTGCACCCAAAGTCAACCACCAGTAGTAAACAAGAAGAAGAAGAGAAGCAGCGTAGCCGATAAAAATCATCTGACGCGCCAACAGCAGTTTCTACTAGGTCTGCTGTATGGACCAGTTTGCATTTAGAGGGAAGCACATGTTGGAATTAGCACTGTTTCCTCTCTTGCAATGCCATAATCTCACCTACTTTTAACCTAACACTGTCACAATAATGTATCAAATGTCAGACTGCTTTTTTCTTTCAGTTTTTACTAGGGATGGGGATCGAAACCCGGTTCTATCAAGGACCTGGTTCCACTTTTTTCAAAACCCAAAAATCAATAACGTTTGGGCTTATCGATACCACTATCGAGTCTGGTCGTTTTTTTTTATTACAATAGTAATTGTGAAATCTGTGTTGTAATCGGCAGCATACAAGCTAGTTAGCTTGAAAAGTAAATAAAGTTTCAGACGTGCTGCGTGATGATGTGTTCAGATTGGCTCAGTAAAACGACAATTAGGTTATCATGATGCGTTCAAGTGTAACGTAAAGAAAAGGGAAATTGAGTTTTGGGCGAGAAACATGAGTAATACAGTTGTATATTGCTCTAATTATTTTTAGAATATAAAATTAAACTACTGATGCCAACATTTATTAAAAATTACATTTAATTTAAAATACAATTATTTATTTGTTAAATATTGTTGCATCGTCTTTCCACCAAATAACAGAAAATTATCGATAGTGGTATCGATAAAGACTCGGATCGATAAGGAGTATCGATAAAAGTATCGATATCAATAAATATTAACGATCCCCATTCTTAGTTTTAACCTGACTATACAAGACGTAATAGATTTTCCTAACAATCACCATATACCGAACCGAACCGAAAACCGTGACCACGAAACCGTGAAACGAACCGAACCGTGGATTTTGTGAACCGTCCCACCCCTAATATATATGTATGTGTACATAGAAAATAGTTCAACCCGCTTGGCTGGTTCTTTTTAGGAACAGGAACAATGCACAATGTCATCCAGGCAGCGTGGGCTGAGGTTGAAGACGCGTTTGAGTGGTTTACAGAGGTCTGCAGGGATGTAAACGAGTCTGTGTGTGCTCAAACAACAAAAAAAAGACTTAAAAAAGGAGATTTAGTATAAGGTTTTTTTATTTGAGTCTTGTGGTTGGGATAAACCAGACAGGTCAAGATCCGTGTTTTGCAAAAGGCTGTGTTATATCTGAGATGGTCCAGGACACAGTTGTTTACCGTAACATGCACGTAGGCACGGCGTACATAAAATGCCATTTTCACATAGTTAAAATATTCAAAACAACGTTTGAGGCGGGGGAGAATAACAGAGCTATGAGATGACAGGTGGAGGAGAATGCAAAGAAATGTGGGCCTTCAAGATCCACTTCCAGGCAGCAATGAGGAAGAAGAGAATAACTGAAAACACAGTAGGTGAGAATAGGTCGAGTTGATGAGAACCAGAGGAAACATGGAACAGATCAAACCAATTTTAATCAAACCGAGGGAAACAAAGCAAAAAGGGAGGAGGACGCAGAGGGGAAATTGAGGATAAAAACAATTAAAACTTAAAAATAAACTACAAGCTAGGCCAAATACTAAAATAATATGTTGTTTATGTTTATGTTTATGCATTTGGCAGATGCTTTTATCCAAAACGACTTACAGAGTAGACACAATATTACATTTCTCATCACTATGATAATAAGCTATACATATATATACAGTATATATAATACTAAAAATAATACTAATACTAAAAGAAACAAAACCACCAACAAACAAACAAACAACAGGTAAGAAAGTGCACACAGTGTGCACACAGTTGTACATCTCATTTAGGCTTATACATTTTTAAAAAAGATTAGCTTTCTAAACCAGACTTTTGCCTCTTTAGTTTATCTAAATGACAAATTAGATTCAGTGTAATACAACTAAACAAGTCCTGCTGTGTACTAAAGTCAGGAACAGCTGTCTGAAATCGTACAATCCAAGATATGACACCGCTTTCTCTCAATATGAAGTATTTTTCAGTAAGTTTATTTAATCACGCTTTAAACTGAGGCATTTTATCCATTTGCCACCATTTTGAAATTAATTTTAGCTATTACAACTTTAAACATAGCAGTGGTTGGCATAGAAACATTGCCAGCTTTGAATACAGGTAGATTTAATCTAAATCTAAAATAATCTAAACTATAGAGTATAAAAGTGTAATATTTTTTTGCCTATCAGTTTAGAAAGTTAAAAAGATGTTTACAGAGATTCATTACGCCAAAGTAAAATATTTCATGCTTTTTTTTCTTCTATTTGAATGACCATTTACAGATAAGGAAAACACACTATCAGTGTCTCTGAAAATAATTAGAATATCACACCAGACCAATCAAAACCGATCTTTTAGGCACAGATATAATTATTTTGAAAATTGTGTACATTTCTGTGCGCTCCATATTGGTGGAGATGTTTTTGGGGTAAAAAAAAACAAAAAACCCCTTTTTGTAAATGCTTCAACAAAGTAGTTTTAAGGTATTATGTCATTTTTGTAAAAGTATTTTAACTCACAATTTTGACTTGAGTACTTAATCTTGTGGATCAGTTAACCGCTTTTATATCTTTACAGGCAACCATGAGCCTCGACACTATCTTGAGCATTAGCACGTCCATCGTACAGATGGCTCAAAATGTGAAGGCCAATAAAGACCGCTGTCTTCGAGTTGCAAGGAGGGTCAAAGCCCTGGAACAACTGGTGATGGCCATCAAAAACAAGGGCCCAGGATTCGGTTCCATGACCGTGAACAACGCTCTGGTGGATCTCTGCATCACCCTGGAAGACGCCAAGAAGATCATGGAAAAATATTCGAAAATCAAGGGTATGATGGGCTTCCTGAAGTCCAGCAGCATTGAGGACAAGTTCTCCGGTGTAAACGAGAGACTCAGCGATAGCTTCCAGATCTTATCTGGAGCTTTGCAGATTGAACAAAACCACAAGCTGTGCAGACTGTTTGATCCTGTTTCGGAGGAGAGCATTTATGAAAATGAAGACGACGGATGGTTACAACCAACGGCTCAAATGTCCCCCTACCCCCAATTGTCCAGTCTAAGAGGATCCACGCTGCCTCCCACACCAATGTCCAGCCCAACACCTCAAATGTCCCCATACCCGCAAGTGTCCAGCCCAATATCTCAAATGCCACCATACCCCCAAGTGTCCAGCCCAACACCTCAAATGTCCCCCTACTCTCCAGGGTCCAACCCAACACCTCAAATGTCACCATACCCCCAAGTGTCCAGCCCAGTACCTCAAATGTCCCCCTACTCTCCAGTGTCCAGCCCAACAACTCAAATGTCCCCATACCCACCAGGGTCCAGCCCAACAACTCAAATGTC